GAAGGGAAGAGCCTGGAGCGATTTCCAAGTAACAGCGAACAGACAAGCTACAAAAATCCTCCCTTGGAGAAGAGTCCTTTGTTTCTGAGTTCTACTCTGCCCCCGGTAATGTCAGTCTTCAAGTCTTCAGAAGAAGAAAAGAAGAAGAAAAAGTTCTTGCAGAATAAATATGAATCAGCGGCGTCCAGATGGAGGCATGTCGACCCGGCCCCCCACCAGCACAGGGGGTACGGGAACTGCTTGGGGCGCTCCCTGTCATTTCCTTCATCCCCTGAGCACCTCCCATGCAGAAGACCTGAGCGTAAAGCCATCTCCTGACCCGGGGTTTAAACCCACAGGGCTTGGTGAGCAAAGAAATCTCCAAACCACGAGCAAGAAACACCCACTTTCAGACAGGGCAAAGTCTGGGGCGCAGTGGGAGGCGCTCAAAGAGCAGCATCTCGGTCCTGAATGCTTCTCAAGGCAGTGTGCCGCTCGCCGTGCAGCCGCGCTCTCTCCTGGAAGGGAGGGAGCTCCCACCAGCCTCCACGCTCACCTTCTGCACCGGCCTCAGGACCCGCAGGGCAGAGAGAAGCGAGGAGCACCAGCTCGAGAACAAGTGGTGAGAACAAGACACTCGTGCCCCTTCTTATGCCAGGCGAACGTGTCCCTCCTCTCAGAACTGTCCTCACCTGTCCACCCTCACGCAGCAAGCCGACCTCGCCCGCCCGGGACACGCGTGTCTGCGGTGCCCTCAACAGACCGTGCGTGCCTTGCCTGGCGGAGGCTCAACCACAAATGAATTAGCAACGCACGACGAGTGGATTCCTTGGGGGGAGTCACGTTGGATGCCCTCCGTGAGTTTCCAGGTGGGACGCGTCACGTACACGCTGATTTACTAACACAGCATCTTAGGACTCGTTAGGGGGTCACCACACTCAGTGGTTCAGTCGTCAGGAAGCGCATGTCCACGGGGTGTCGTGGGCCAGGATCTGCCACCCCAAACCCGCCCCTCCACCGAAGCCTCTGCCTCTCCCCGCCTGAGCACCCCTGAGTCCGTGGCCACGGCTGGAAGGACATGGCGCGAGACTCACTAGCTATGAAAATCCGAGCAGAGCGCTGACCCCAGGGGACCGTCCTGGGCTCGTGTGGATAGTCAGTGGCGGGTTTTCAGAAGCAGTGGGGAACCGATGGGCTGGGTGGGGGGCAGACGCAGCTCCCTGTGCTCTAAGTGCCTTGCCAGGGCCTGGACAAAGCCTCCACCGACTCGTGGGTCTCTCGTCTGGAGTTACGCATTTTCCAAGTAAGTTCATGGCTCGTGAATTTGCATTTTTGGATTTGGCTGAAAATGTGGGCTATGGAGACAAAAGATAAGAGTTTTAAGTTGTAGCTCTGTCCCAAGCAAAGAGGCCTTGGTGGAGTCCCCACCTGTAACCTAGAAGGAACTAAAAGGTAATACCACTTCCAGTCCGGGCTGCTGTGACGCCTGACGCCTGGCGGGTCCCCTCAGACACGGGCAGCAGCCACGACACTGACACGGGCCACCAAGCCACTGCCTCCACTTCTGCAGTACATCGAGGATGGCAGCCGGGTGTCCCCAAACCGTCCCTTATGCCTCTCTCACCCCATCCCTCCCTCCAGCCCCGGTGCATCCTTACTTCCCCGCCCTCCCCCCATCCAGACCCTCAGGTTGAGGGTTCAAGCCCCTGGGCTATTTCCTCCAATGACCTCTGCAGTTTTCACTTTTTCTCTTTAAAGCTGTGGACTTCTGCACTCCTGCCACCGATGTGCCGGCACAGCCTGACAATCTGTCATCAAAGATCCAGAGAAGCAGCTTCCCAGGCATGCAGAGTTGACAGGTCCCACCCTCTCTCCGGTCAAAATCCTCCCTCTGCCCCTGGAACGGCCATTTGATGCTACCACAACCCCTCCTCATTGCCTTTGTGGCTTTCTGCCCGGGGATGTTTCTCTAAGTGCAGGAGTTGAGTTTGATTTGTGTTTTGCATTTTAAGTGGACTCGTGTGTTCTGTTCTGTGGCGCTTCTGCTCAGGACCACGTTGGCGCCATGGGTCCGAGCAAACTGACCAAAACACGTGGTCCATCCAGTTGGACACTGTGGCCATCCATCCGTTCCCCAATTCTGGTTGTTGCCACAAACGCGGATCTGGACGCTCTGCACGTGTCTCCTGCTGCAAACCAGGAGCGTCCCTGGAGCCATACCGCACCCCGTTACCCCTGTCGGAGGCAAGTGGGTTCTGCTGGTGCAGTGGGGGAGGGTCTGTGCACCCATGTTCCTATCAACACATCACAGATCACTTTTTCTTTGCTGTTAATTGGGAGGGGGCAAGGGGTGTGGAGGGGACTCTCATGGCAATGTTAATTTGCATTTCCCTGGTACTAATGAGCCTACACACTTCCTCCTATGTTCGCGGGTCATTAGGGTTTCCTCCTTTATAAAACGCTGTCTCTTCAGGACTTTTGACCATTTTTCTGCTCAAGTGTCTCATCTCATTCTCCTTATCAATTAATAGGAATTTGGGTCTTTTGCATTAATGGCTTAAGATTACATAATTATGGAATAAAGGAAGGTTCCCCCTTTTAAAGGGTCTTCTGGGAGAAGCAAGCCGGTGGAGGACTTGGGGGCAGGAGGTCTTCTCCCTGTTCTGACACCTCACTAACATGAGGACGTCTGCTCCCTCCCCAAGCCTACCTCACCGTGCCCTGGCACAGATTCGCGATAAACACACGTGCCCGTTCGGAACGATGGCTCTGTTGACGGCTACATTTTAAATCTCTTGTCACAATTTTGTGGCGGCTGTTTGTAGGGTAAGGTTGGTGTGAACTCCAGGACGAAAGACAGCTGTTGAACAGTGAGCCTGACGCGATTTTAATAAACTGGATGAAAACCACGCCCACGGTTTACAGCGAGTAGATCATGGGCACCAGCGGTAGAGGCGCGCGCCCATCTACCGGTGCGGAGAGGACGATGTCCCCGGAGAACAGGTCCCTGGCTGGTTGCAGATGGAAAATGCGATCCTCTGCAGCAATGTCAGCACAAGGACCCCAGGCAGAGACGTCCCATCCCCCCGCTTTGCTGCGTTATCAGTGAGGCTCTGTCAGCATCTGAGGAGAAGTCACAGTGCCTTATGCCGAAGTTTATCACAAGGAGATCATGCACGTGTGTGCGGCGCCGTGTGTGCGCGTGTAACCGAGCATTGTGAGTCTCTGCGCACGTCATGCATGTGGGTGCAAGCACTACCGTCCCGAACCCCTCCCCGACCTCAGACTCTCACAGCAATTCCCCAAACCTTGCGGTTTCCAAGCAGACACCTGCTTTCCCACACCCACATTCCTGCAGAATAAATGCGTGACACAGCGTGGGGTTGGCAGACATTTCCCAGGGCGCCTCGGAAGTCACAGACGGCATCGGGTGTCAGCAGGCGTGAGGGGACCCAGCCCACACAACCCCCGCCCCGGCCCAGGAGCGAGAACAGACGCTCATTTGCAGACGGTGAGTGTGAGAGCGGCACTCCCCACCTTCGCCGCTAGCCTGACCCGAGCCACCGAGCCTGGCCCGGTCCCCACGCGAGAAACGCCAGACTTTGAAGCACGCTGTTTCCCACCACGTGGGCCAAAAACATCCACTCAGCCACTACGAAATGCAGCCTTTCTGCACAGTCTAATTATAATTACTGGCACCTGGTTGAAAAAGGGATGTGCTAGTGGGTACTGTGGTGGTTTGATTCCAAAAACGAAGTACTATTTGGAGAATGTAAGAAATTCGGCCAATTTTGTACACGTGGCTCCCCGATACAGATCTTCCAGACACAAGTTAGTTTTCTAACAGTATCACTAAAATCACAGACTTGGACATCCCCCAGTTTTCTCCTTCATAAAATAAGGCTCGGTGACTCATGGAGTCGCACACCTGGAAAAAGATACCTGTGCGATGGCGTCTCCCAGAATGAGAGGCACGGAGGGCGGCGCACAGCATGTGCTCATGTCCCTCTTCCTTCCATTTGCTCCATGAGGTCGTAGAAGAATTATTAGGTGCAAACGTTGGTGCACTAAAAATATTTGTCAGCAATTTTTAGCTCTTGGACAACCAAGGAGATTTAAAAATAAATATATTTTAATTCCACATGACGCACACCCTTGGCTTTTAAGTGACGACGAGTCACTGGGAATGCGAGGTTCGCATCACTGTTGATTACAGATATCATCGTACCGCAGCAGTCGCAAGTTCTGGCCTGCGCCGTGGCTCCCCGTGTAAACGTCTGAATCATGAACAGAATTCCTAATTATAAGATGTCTCACTTTTAAAAAGTGAGTCTAAAAGGACATCCTAAAGGCAAACACTTCGATGTTTTACGTGAAAACTCGGGAACACGCTCGGTGCTTCGTTTTCACTACGGTTGCTGCGACCATGGACTCAAGTCTGATCTGGGAACCTGGATGCAGAGATCACGAGTCCCTTCGAGACGGTCAGATCAATCACAACTCACGCTGTCTCACTCTCTCCAGTGAAGATGACCAGGCCCATTTATATCATTTTTGGTAAAATACCAAAGGAAAATGGATTATTTCATAGGTTACACTCCTGGCCCTATCAAGCCTTCGGCGTATCAGGCCCTCTTCTGAGAAACAAAATAACACCAACAAACCATCTGGAAATGGACACAGAGAATGAGCCTCTTTTTCTTTGCAAACATATACATATAAAACCAGAACTTTTTTCTTTTTTCCCCAAAAGAAACATGTGGCGGTTTCCGCTGCTGACTACAGTCCTTGTGGTCATTCCTAAAAAACCCTGCATCCTGAATCAAAGAACCTTCCAGAGTCAGACCAGATCCTCCGTGGCAGAACCGTCTTAGAACAGCTCTCCCTGTTTTCGGCTTCGTCCCCCCCGTGACTCCCACAGCCACCCCACGGGGTCCCCTGGGAACCGCACGCAGACCCGGGCACACCCGAAGGACTCGGCGGTGGTCCGTGGCAGGCGCGGGGTGCGCTCACAGACCTACCCGGGCACCTGGGCGTCTTGTGGGCCACGGCCGTGCCGCTGACGGGCCTCCCGTTGGGTGTGACGCACCAGCAGTATCCGGTGTAGCTGTGGCACTGCACCTGCGGGCGGGTGGGACAGCGGTCAGCTCCGGCAGCGCGTCTCCCGTGACCCCGCACCTGTGCAGCCGCGTCCAGGACGCCTGCCCATCTGAGCCACAGCCGCCACTCATGTCTCCACGGGGGAGCTGGGCCCCAGGGCGTCCAGGGACACGTTCAGCCTCTCCCCGCTGCACCGCGGCAGACATGAGGGGAAGGGACAGCATCCCTCCCCACCTCGGTCCGTGGCATCCCTCCTGCTCTGTCCCCACCCCAGGGTCTCCCTAGCATCTCTCTTGCTCCCACTCTCTGACCCCAGGTCTCGCCAGCATCCCTCTGACTCCCCAGGGTCCCCAGGGCATCCCTCGCACTACCCTTTCCCCCATCTCCTCAGCCTCCCTCTCTCCCACCCCGGGGTCTCCCTGTCATCCCTCCCTCTCTCCCACCCCGGGGTCTCTCCAGCATCCCTCCGGCCCCGCCCCCCGCCAGGCTCTCCCTGGCATCCCTCCTGCTCCCCAAGGTCTACCCAGCATACTTCCAGGGTGGGCTCTACTCTCTACTCTCAGAATCCTTCTGGGACTAGATCCTCAGAGAAGAGCTTGGTGCACAGGGGCTGACCCACCTCAAGGGGGTTGGGGGGCAGGACACAGTGAGTGACACAGGTGGACAGCGTGGCCCCAACAGAGACACCTGCTCCCCAGAAAGGCGTGAGTGAATTCACTCGCACAACTGCCCGTGGAAGTCAGCCCTGTCCTTCACTCGCTCCCGACTGGGGCAGCGACCTCTCCCACAGGAGCCCCCGGCCCTCCTTCCCACGGCCCCGCCCACGCCTCCAGGTGCAGAAGCTGCAGGAAAACAGGTCACCTGGCTGTAGGTGCCGTCGTCGTTGCATTCCGGGATGAACACCTGCTGCAGCTCCTTGCGGGCCTGCTCCTGGGTGTACTTCCTCTCGGCCACACACCTGGACACGTCTGTGGAAGGAGCAGAGCACAGGTGTCCCTTACACACCCCGGAGAGGCAGGCACAGAGTCACCCACCGTGGGTGGGTGGGGCGGAGGGTCCCCCATGGGAGGACCTCAGGCCTGTGCAGTGAGAAGACCTGAGGCTCAGAGACAGTCCCTCTGCTTCTCCAGCTGCAAGGACTTTGCTTCCTCAAAGGTGAAGACGTCCCCCTGTGGGGCCAGCAGCAGACGGACGTCTGTGGGTCCAAGCAGGGGTATGAGCACACCAGCTCCAGGACACACACACTGCGGGCCAGGTCTAGAAGCCCCTCTAAGATCAGACCCAAGGCCATGGCCCTCAGCCGCGAGGTCTGGAGACTGCCTTGGCCAGGAAACCACAGTGGTCCTCGTGTCCGTCATGCCACCCCAAGGTCTCAAAGCCATACTGAGGTCCTTCCTCCCACCCCCAACGACGAGTGGAAAGTCTGACAGTAAGTCAGATAAAAAGTCACATATCCTTAGTCCTCCTTCCACTCTGTCCCATATTTTCAGGCATTTGTACTAACATCACCATAACATATTTCAGTAAAAGTTTCTACGTTCCTCCAGCTCCTCAGGGAGCCATCTTCCGGGACCCAAGAAACTCACAAAAAAAGGAAGAGTCTGAACACACTGGCATGTGTCATCTCTGTCCGGACACCAGGAGTTTGGAGACAGACCCTCAAACCAAACACGGAGATGCATGTGTTGCAAGGGCCACCCTGGCTCAGGAGTGAGTCTCCTCTGCTGTCCCCATAGCCTGCCACAGCCCACGCACGACCTCCGGGACCAGAAGGGGCCGGAGCTCCTGCTGCTCATGTTGGACGTCTGTGACAGGTGCAGAGGCCTGGGCCCCAGAGCCCCCAATAGGGCAGGGGCAGCAGCACACCCCCGTGTGTCATCCACGAGCCCCAGGACACCAATGCCGGCTCACGTTTCCATTCCTCAGGCCGCCGTATGATGTCGCTCGTCTGAGCCTGCAGACTCAAGAAGAATGGCTTTCCCCATTTTTCTAAAGTGTTTCCAGATTTAAATAACAAGTTGTCTAGATCTTAAAGGCCGTCTGGACTCCAAGATATACTTCTTCAAACGTGTCCACTGGCCAAGATCTTTAGATGGTGACTTTTGATTGCCTGGTACTGGAGACGGCTGGCTCAGACAGCGTGCCCTCTGGGCACCCGCTCCAGGGCTCCAGCTGCGGCCACAGCTCCTGTGGCATCCAGGGGCTGAATATAGACTCTGCCACCCCACACACCCGTCCTGGGCTTCAGGGGGACGCGGGCTGCCGGCTGTACCGTGAGTTACGGGTACACACGCTGTAGAAAACAGCCTTTCATCCAGGCTCTGCGCTCACGTCCTGATCTACAGTCCGGCCTGGCCAGCCCGGGCTCAGCAACATGTGGTTTTAGTGCAGTCTGTGTTTTAGCTGAGGACAAATCATTGCTTTGCTGGACTGCTGTCCTCGTTTTTTAAGTATAACCTGTGGTTTGACTGACTAAAAGGAAAAGCGGTAGGACTTCCAGCTTGCAAGCTCTCACCAGGGCACAGATGGAATCACACATCATCTCTAATATTTGAGCTATTGTGGGACATGGGAAAAAAGCATAAATTTTCCAGGCAACTCACAGACCTTGTTCCTGGCTTGGAGGCCTTCCTAGAAGACTCTGCATTCAACTGCTGATCGGCTCAAACTGGGGCGGGCGACTCGCCCCTCTCATGGGAGATTGAATTCCCCGTGTTGGTCCAGCATGTCGCTGGCTAGGAGGTCGCCAGAGGCAAGCCTGCGGCACAGGACTGTGGGGCCTGTGTCAGCCGTCCTTCGAAGATGCAGGCTCCGTTTGCCCACCCAGCTGCTTGTGCCCCCGACTCTGCGTGTTCTGAATCGGGGTCTTTACCCCTGAGAGGGGTCAGCGGCCACCAGAGCAAGTCCACTGAAATACGCAAGAACTCCAGGAATGCCACTCGGAATTAGTCACACCTCCCTTCCCTTCTCTTTAGGTCATGACTTGTTACACTGCGGTCAGAACACTCCACGCCAGATCGACATTTTTGGCAAGCAGTTCGCCCTAGGTGCCGTGCGCGTAGTGATCCTGGGGGCGGACCCTCCCCCGTGTCCTCAACATCACTTTAAACCCTTACACGGCTGATGTACGCCCACTCGGGCTAAACCAGATGTCCCTCTTTACTGAAATCCCAGTACCAAGCACAGCGAGATGAGAGGCGAGACGGGTGTTTTCCTGGGTGGTGACTCGGGCGGGAGCGGCTACCACACGGTCCTGACTCGGAGTTGGGTGCCGTGTGCCGGGGTGCGGACGGGCCCCGCCGCTGCGTGCTCGCGGCCCAGCGCTGGCCCAGCGCAGACAGGGCTGGCCTCAGAGTGGGGGAGCCAGACGAGCAGCGACGGCCAGACAAAGGAGGCATGCTGTCCTGGGGCGGTGGCCGCAGAAGCGCTGGTCCTGTGAGTGACGTGCCTTTTATTTGTCCTGGCACCCAGTGAAGGCAGACACTGTTTGAAAGGTTCTAATATTTTATCCACCCGTAATGTTGAAGGCCAGACTCTGAGAAAAAGCAAGGACTCTGTGTTGCAAAGCTCTTTGCCTAAATAGAACATTTCTCCCTCCCTAATACAGGGGGTTGTGCTGTGATAAAAGGCCAGAGGAACGGGCAAGGGGGACCCCTCCTCCCTCTGCCACCAGGCAGCAAGGACAGCAAGGGGGAGTGTCTGCTGGAAGCATCGCTTCAGAGTTGAGAAGAAAGGAACAGAGTTTCCCTTCTAAATGACTATTATCAGTTTAAATGCAGAGAGACAGAAACAAATTATAACAGGAAACGCTTTAGTCCATAACCGGGGTGGCCAATTAGACACCTGCGAACTCTCTCGCCACATTCACGCAGGAAACGACCAACGACAACCATCTGTGCGGGACTTAACCACGAGCGTCCGGGCATCGAAACAGACCCCGCAAACTGTCACCAAGCCCCTCTAATCAGGTCTGAGTGCAGCCTCCCAGGACAGACGGCGTGAGGCTGTGCCGACAGGCTCCCAGCTCTGCGGGTGCACGAACACGTGGAGAGTGCGGGCATTGCGAAAGCACAGGGAAGACACTGTTCACGTGACGTTCCAGAAAGCGCTGGTGGGTTTCTGACTGCAGCTTGAACGTGAAGGCGATGGCGCTACCTGTCGTCCTGCCGACTTTAGTCCATGAAGAAGGACGTTTCTAGCATCAGACCTACTAGAACACTAGAAAGGAGTTAAAAATGTGGTTCGTGTAGGGTTTCTGTAAGAGACAAGCGCAGATACAATTAAAAAGTCCTAGAACACCTCCTTATGTCATGGCTGCCTCAGGAAGCCTGCTGTGGGCAGGAAGAAGTGTGGCTTACACAGGGCGGGTGGCACTGACCAGGACCCAGCCTGAAGACTGGACAAAAGAGAGTCACATCCACACAGACGTGCACACACAGGCACAGGCACACACAGACACAGACATGTGCACCAGCTACATGTGGGCACACACTGATACACGCATGCACACGGCTACAGACACACACGTGCACACATACACAGACATGTGCGTTGTGCACATGTGTGTGCACATGTGTATGTAAGACATACCTACGCAGAGACACACATGTGCATACACCTAAATGCACATGTGTGCACGCGGCATGCACGTGTGCAGAAATGCATGTGTGTGATATGGCCGTGCGTGCATGCACATGGATACACACGTGCACGGCCACATGCACGTGTGCACACATATATGTGGAGATGTGCGTGATGGGTCCACGCACACGTGCACACACATGAAGGACACGCATATGTGGAGATGCACGTGTGTGATACGACCAGGCACATGTGCACACACGTGAGGGACACATGTGCGGACACACACGTGCACACACATGTACATGACCGGACACACACGCGTGCACATATACAGACACACGTGCAACACGGATATACACGCACAGATGCACACAGAGACACTCACACACACGCACACACACCTATATCCTACATAGACTTCTTCAGTGGAAGTACCTGTTTTATTGAAGAAAGTAGCAGCAGCCTGACCGCTGACTTACAGTAACCGAACCACACCCGGACACGGACGCTTGTCTGCCAGCGTCCGGAGCTTCTGTGACGACGTTGCTTTCCTCCATCCGGGCAATCCCAGGGTGGCTGTTTCTGTCACGTATGCGTGATCACTTTGATTCCAGAAATCGCACAGCAGTTCCCACGCCTCCTGGCATTTTACGGTTCTTCTTCCCTTTTATTTTCTTTTTTGGCTTTTTTATTCAATGCCAGCAATTTTGTTGAAAAGAAATCTCCAATTGCCTCAGATCAAAAGAAAAGTATTAATGTGTTCACTAAGTTTTGAACATTGAAACCCCACGGATCTAGAAGTCCTTCTGCGTAAACCACTGCCCTTCTCTTCAAGGTCAATGTCAGATCCCAACATCAAATTCATAAAACATTTTAATCCAATATAATTAACTATGGACTAAAATATTTCAGCTTTTGTTTTCAAACTAGTATATTCGAAACAGGCCTATGGAACTGTCACCCCCCATCTGCGGAAAAGCCCTCAAAACACGCAGTTTCCCATGTGTCAGACTAGGGTATACGAGCCCATTCCAACACCAGGTAAAGTACAGAGGAAAAATTCGGACGGTTATGGGTATCACGTGAAGGGCATAAGGGGCATTCAGTCTTGTGCTCGCTCCTGCCCACTCAGAGCAGCGAGATTCGGGCCCGCCGTGCCGTCTGTCTGCCGTGTTTGTGCCCACCGAGGACAGAGGAGGGTCGCAGCCAAATCTGCCCATGCAGCGGGATCCCTGTCTCTGGGCCCCTCCGCACAGCGGCTGGCTTTACCTTCCCCCATCCCCAGAAACCTCCTCCTCCCCGTTAGCCCCCTGGGTAGACTGGAGGTGTTGCCTGCTGGATGTCAGGACAGGGTTGGTGAGCGGCTGGCGAAATGCACCGGCCT